CAGGTGATATCCAGAGGTCTCTGCCACTCTCAGCTGTTCTGTGATTCCTTGATATCATTCAGAGAAAACGGAATAAAAAGTTTTTGCCCAGTTGCAATCGATTAAAAAAACACTATGATATCTACTGCAGTAATAGGAGTGTTGAAGTTTGTTTCCTGGCCAAACCCAGGCCAGACTATTGCATTCAAACTACCTAAAATTCCTTCTACCGCTTAACCTGCCAAAAGTTTTCTTCACCTTATCTTCAGAACTCCTTCAAACAGAAGTGGAAAGCAGGAAACTAATTGCTCCAAAGGAAAAGTGGCTGAATTGAAGTGACAGGTTGAGTATTGTCACCATTTATTTTCCTCACAGAAATGCTTAACGTATTTAGATCCTCAGGCAAAGTTAACCTTGGACCTAGGTGGATGAATATAACCAATTATAAAATGGCCACAGAGAGACTGGCATTGCTCTGCTCACGGTGATCTGTCGTGAATCACACCTTCAGAGACTGTGAATGTTTTTCTGCAAAGCTCGTTCTGTTATGTGAAGGAGAAGCTTAGACTGTGCCATAAGGAAGAGGAGGAGTCAGTAAATACAGAACTATATTACCAATGCATACATATATGCTTAAACATCATTGTATTTAGAGTTTTTTAAGATTAAACATTAAACTGCACACAAATTGAGATATACAAAAAACATTGATAAAACAAGCATTATTATTCAAGAAGCTTCAAAAGGAAAAGGAACAAAACCAAAATAAAGCAACACAAAATTGGCACTATAAAAATCCTACATCCTAAGTCGATGGTTAAATTGTGCTTTTTTTTATTATTTCTTGGTGGTCTGACTGGAGAAGAAAAAATAGAGACTGAATAGAACTCTTTGCACTGCTGGAGTGTTTTTGAGTGTTATTATTTTAGCTATAATTAATAGATATGTGATGGAAATAATGAGCTAGGTGAAAATTCAGTATGAGTTTTATGAGAAGAATAGTTTAGATGTAGGTGAAAGAACAAAAACAGATGAACGAAGACTTATAATGCTTTTTAATACCTATGACTTCTCAAGCATATCTGTTTAAACATCAGCTGTAGACACTACTACAGGGGAATCTAGACAAGAAAGGTAGGTGACCTTAAGAAAGTGATGAAACAGAGATTATAGTTCATGGAGTAACTGCTTATGAAAATTTGTGCAGTAATAAATCACTAGAAAATACCTGTCAAAATACAGAAGCCTGAACATGGACCCTGAAAGAATTTATAAAAAATTTTTGTCCAGAGTTTAGTAATAGACTTTACTCGCATTATTCATGATCTATATTGATGTAACTGACATCAGATTCCAATCTATGCTACTATGTATTATAAAGTTTACTGCCTATATAAAATAATGTTATTAAATATATTTTTTGTTGCTGTATTTTAACGTTATACATAAGATTAAAAACATGTTTAATTAGAAACAGAATTCTGTCTGACTTTCTGATCTGAATAGTCTGGATCTGTATCTTGTTTACGAGCTGATGTTAAAATGACAGTTTGATTACAGATTAGAAAGTATCTGACTGGAATGTTCCCTCAACTTCACAGAAATGTTTGTTCTCTACTATACTCTTGCACAGATGAAATTCTTCCTATTTAGGACCTAAGTCAAAGTTCCAACCAGGTATTTTATTACAAATCAAAGAATAAACTTATTTTTTCAGACTTGGATCCCAGTAAAATACACTTCTCTATAAAACTAAAGCTACTTATGAACTAAAAGATTCAAATGTTTTTTACAAAATTCTTATGGACTAAAAAGTTCAGTGTTCAAATCAAAAACCGGAGTACACATTATCACAGGCTGCAATAAGTGACACACAGTCATCTATTAGCCTATGAGACCTTAGAGTCCAAAGGCAAGTGGTTAGTAAAGAGAGCGAACAATTTTAGTTATTGTCAGACAACTAATGAAAATACGCAGCTTAAATGCATTTGTCAGCCTACACAACTCCCATTGCTGTTGTGCTCAGGTATGTTCCAATTTCAAAATAGAAGTATAACAATAGCATTTTTTTCCCTCCTCTTAAATTTGGTGAAAATGTTGATGAACTCATGTTAGTTCAAATGTATTAACAACTCACTGAGATAATGACAGATGAAAGAGACTTGAATTTTACATGTAGATTTCTTTCAAACACTGATACTGATCATTAAATATCCTGTATCAGTAAGCTTCACAGCCTATGCCTTGTTCTTTGGAAGTTTTAATTTCTTCATAATAGATCTCCAATATCATATATTTTATTTCATTAAAATATGGCTTTTGCAGCAGGTCATGATCTTTACATATATAAATACTTTGGATTCTTTGTTAAATAAGTATGTTTCTATAGGAGTAATTGTAAGCATTTTTGAGACGGTAACAGAATACTTTTTGTCAGCAAATAGTTGTGAATATCTTACTTTTTTTGCTCTATCTTATAGACTTGACACTCATTCAGAACCCAGTTCAAAAGAGCTGTTATAATATACAGATACTTTCCAAGTGGATTCAAATCATCTGACTGCTCAGAATAACGATTGCTTACCAGGGACAGCAAACCTAGCATAGATAGACTGTGAATATGAAGACCTTGCGTGGGATAATTTGTTCAAAGGTAAAACAGACCAGAGATGGAGCTCATGAAGATTCTTTCCACAGTTGTAGCTGCCAAGTGGCTATAGGCTATAGCCTTTGGAATGAATCTGAAACATTTGAGGCTTTCAGACTGCATTAAATTCCAGGAGCTAGAGTCAAGGTCTGACTGCAGCAAGAACTGTACCCAGCCATGAGTCCCAGAGAAACACATTTAGCCTTCTTCTCAGTTACAAGCTGAATTGTCTCTGAGCTATTTCTGTCAATGAGCTTTTGGTTGTATGGAGGAACACCTAAGGAGGCAACACAGCTTGGAAGAGGTGAACTAGATGATAGCAGACCCACTAGTCAAGTGGAATTTCTTCTTCTCTGTAGAGGCAAAAGTCTTTTTTTCTATTGAGACTTTTCTAACAGATGTGGATAATAAATTCCTTTTCTGGGCTGGCAGATTTGGTAAAAATGAAACACAACATGCACTTGGTTCTAGCACTTTGTAGAAAGGAATAAGCTGTGGCAGAAAAGAAAAATGTTCTGCTGTTCTATCCTGTCCTTCCTCAACCAGAATGCTTTTTTTTTTTTAACTTTTCATGGTTTAACTTTCTATGCAAACTCATCACATGACAATTCTTAACTATTTTTGCTTTGGTTTTTATCAGCAGTCTATGAAGAAAGCCCATTTTTAAAGTATATAGATTGCTCAACAAAATATGTCAGATTAATCCTTTTTAAAAATGTTTTACACAGTTCCTTTTCAATGTTTCCTTCTCAGAGTGCCCCAAACATGGAAACGCACATACCACCTCCGTTGGTTTATACTTCCCTTCCTAAAATCATGATAGCCTTCCTCATAGCCTCTTCAAATACACTCTATTATTGTTGTTTAAAGCATACTGTATGTAGAGGTAGAAACTTGAAAACAATATTCTCCTCATTCCAATCCCCTATAAACAGTGGATGTAGAGGAACTTCTCCAAATGACACAAGATATTCCCTGAACAGCTGACTAAAAATTAAGTTGAATATGAACCAAGTCTTGAAAAAATTTGAAGTAGTTCAACCACATTTTTATTTTCCATGTTTCATAATTTCTGATTCCAGCCTCTGTCAAAATAAGCAAGTATCAAAAGCTGCAAATATGAAAAATACAGCTCCAGATCTTATTTTTATGAGATTTTAACTTCAGAGTTAGGCTATGTTTGGACAGATATCAAGTAATTACCAAAATGCTTTACTGGTCTTGGAGTACAATGTAATTTACATGTGGTGATCAAAGAAACCATAGTGAGTTTTGTGGAGATGAGAGGAAAAGGTCACGTAGTGAAAACAGTTAACTGTAGCTACAGCATAGAGGCATCAGTCCCAGAATATTTGATATTATCAACATCTTTGTAATATCATTCTGTCATATCTTGTCAACATGTACTATACAAGTCATACCTGTTGGTAAAGTGTTGTATATAACGCTGTTTTTCTCTGCCCCTCAAAGAACCAATATGGCATGAAGTTACCCATTTTCCTTCTCAGAACCAAACAAATGGCATGAGATGAAAATAAAACTCACCTGAATGAAAGGCTTTTGCGGCTAACAAGGAGAGATGTGCTCTACTCGTTTCATCACTATTGCATAAATGAACAAAAAGGCCTTCCTTTTATCTTTTCGACTAATGACATACAAGTCAGTTTAAGTGATTCGTTCACATACATTACCAGAAAGAAGATTGCTCTGGGTACTTAAAGACCATATGCAGGGTGGCAAAACTGTTGTAGTGTACAGACATCCAATCTTGTAAAGCACAATTGCAGTTGGCATTTAACCTGTAGTGCTTAAACTATGTTTAATGTACAGAGCTGGACAGAACTTATTTAATTAAACATATTCTGTTAAACAGATGTACTGTTGAGTACAGACATTACTTGTATAATTAAATCCTATAATGGAATCATATTTTTCTTCTCTGAATCATTTTAAAGCTATTCTTAGACAGACTTCCGTTGTGATCAAGCTGCAAATCTGCCTTATTAAAATAATTTCAAATGAATAAGCACATTTGATATTTTATGTGGTCCTGACTACCTCAGCCTCTACGATTTTAGTACCCTCATACATGGAATTTGTAGAATGTCTACACTGTTAACTGACACGTTTTTGAAATGAGTAATGGAAAATTGAGGAAAAAAAAACCCAAAGCAATGACTTCTTTTCATCTGTCTGCATCTCTGAAAAATTTAAAGAGTTTTCATTTCAATATTGTGGAAACAATAAAGTCACTACTGTCAGACACATCAGCTTGATAAAATAATTATGCCATACCCATGCTAACAAGTGCACGTTCTTGTCACTTGCTATATTTTCATTTTGTATCATGGAATCAAACATGCAAACACAATACCAGAAATGCTTCTGACCTTTTACTCTCCCTTAATGCTTTGTCTCCTTTCTTCCAAGTGATAGTTGGCTTTGGAGAGGCTTGTGGCTTGCACTCAATGACAACTTCTTGGCCCTTGGTAATAATTATTGTTTTCCTCATTTGATTTAGTGGGAAAGTGGGAGCTGAAGCTGTTAAAAAGAAGTAAATTAACTCTACAGAGAACAAACATAGCTTCCAATGTCACTATATTCTGATAGAATTTAGTTTCGGGGATACAAATTCCATTTTTGGTTTGGAAGTTATTATACTACAGATTAGATGAAATTTTAAAAAATGTTTGAAATCAGCAGCCAACTAGATGGCAGGTCTATAACTTAATTCAGTTGTGAACTAGTGAGATGTCCTTCACATCAACATACTAAAATAAGATTGCTTGTGAAATCCAACATCTTTAGAAACTAAATACTACAGTTGATTTCGCCACACCTTTTCTAAAATTTTTTTATTTCATAGGTAACTTTTTAGAAGTAATTAGTTCAGAAAGAAAAGTTTAAATTTCACAACTATCTAAAATGCATTCTCTAGAATTGATTCTTATAAAAATTACTATTGTTAGGAAATTTTATTATTTCCCTTTTTATATTTGCCTAAATGCTGGGAATTGAAAAGTGAGAACTTCTCAATAGATTTAACCACGTCTTGTTCTTAGTATTTCACTTTTCAAGAAGTCCCATTGATTGCAATAAATCAGCTAAGGTAATAAATGTATCACAAAATGGAACTAATTGCTGTAATTTCATAACAAGAAAGGACAGTTGTTCTCATGGAATCTCATTTGTTTGTACTTTTGTTAAACTAGTTTTGCAAAAAAAAGAGACCCCCTGCAACTCTCCCAGCTACACATACAGGAACATTACACTCCATTGCCTCAAATATATAGGAATTTCCTACCATTATTTTGGGTAATTTTCATACCAAAGCTATTTATACGGACAATTTATTCTGTTCTTTTACCCTTAATAATCCAGAAAATTAAACACAACTGCCTCTTTAATGTGAAATTATGGTTAAAATTTAACGGGGGTGCAATTTCACAAATAACAAAACGAAAGGCTGATTTTACTGCAGCAACATACAATGGCCATTTCCAACATTAGAGAACATCAAAGAAAGTGTACGACTACCTGATATAATAAGTGTTATATATAAGATATAATAATCTATTTTATAACAGATGTAAAAAACAGAGCAAGAGAACATTGCAACCAACAGGGATCCCTTTGCTGACTGAATCACGAATGACAAATTATTTCAGTAACTTCAGCTTTATTATCCATTAACTCTCCACTTGTATATTCGGGTAACACTATGTAGTTAGCTTTACTAAGGGATGATACTAGCTCAAGTATGTAATTTCCAGTATTCAGTCAGTTCTAGTGACTTCATAGGAAATTTTTACACCTTCAAAACTAAGATCATGCTTAATTACCTTTGAATAATGGCCTTGGTAGAAACAACGATTTCATTGTAACAGACTAAAATATGTTTCCTTTCTCTAAGTCTCTTCTCCTGCACTTATTTTTAAGGAGTAAAAAACATTTTTTTCATGTGTTTGAACTGAAATAGGCTTATATGAGAAATAGTCACAGAATGTAACTGAGTCAGTAATTTATAAAAGAAAATTTTCTGTTAACAGAAGGACCTGTGGTCTCTCGGGCAACAAAGGATCCACTCACACATAAATAACAAGAAGAAAAAGGAACTCACTTTTATCTGCTCTGCTAAGTTTGGACTGGCGGAATCTGTTCCTTATCATAACAGATCAAGAACAAATGTAATTATCAAAGGGAAAAAAAAGAACAATCTGTTCTTTCTCGATAATACTCACCTAAAATCTTCAGCTCAGCACTGGCATAAATGGTGCCATACTTATTTTCTGCTAAGCACTGATACATTCCAGCATCTGAGAGATTAACACTGTGGATCATCAGAACACCATTAACCATCTCAATCCTGCTCTGTAATGGAATAAAAAAGATACAATTCTATAAAAGCAAACAGGCATGGAAACTTGCTGTATTACTAGCTTAAGGCAAAGGGACAAAGGACATTATTAAGCTAAACCAAAACTAAGCAACAAAATTACTTGGGCTTACTTTTTGCTTGCTACATAGAGAATGACAAGAATAAAGCAGATAGGGAAAGGCAGAAAAAACTCCAGAAATATTTAAAGGCAAATATTTTTCAGTGCAAGTTCATTGTCTCCAAGGCTTGCTTTTGTATGTTTTCTTGTTTGTCAGCTATTACCCTTACATGATTTTTAAAAGCAGTTCATCCTTGGAACTTTAATGAGGCAAGAAGTCAGTTGTAGGTGTAACATATCTGATGATCTTCACACCTCCAGCAAATGTTTGGTTTCAGTCATGGTACTGTTTTCATAAAAGTAGATATAAAAGATTGTTTGCATGAGTCATTAGACTGAAAGGGTCTAATCGCCTTCATCATTAGTGCAAATTTCTTATTTGAAAGCTCAACTAGTAGAAGATAATTACCACAGCTGGAAGAGTTAGGGCATTAACAGCTGTTTATGGAAATGTGTACTTCATGGAGCTGTATAATGGATAATCTGAACTACTATAACATATCTGCAAGTTTCATTATTACAGTTGTTGTAGGTTTAATTAAAAATTGATAAAGAACAGAATGATTGAGAATGCAGAGGAAACTGTGAAAAAAGTTATTTCTGTTGTAAGCCCCCAGTTTAAACTCAAATTTATTTTCAAATTCCAGAGCCAGGTGCAACAAATGGTTTGGAAAATCAGAAAACTAAAAAGTACAGATATTTAAATTGCTTCAATTTCAGGACTAATAGCTCCATCTAAAAAGACAGAAATGGATAAAGTAAAGGCATATAACCTTATTTTCAGTGCCTCACAGCTTCAAAAGTAAACTATGTTTATGTTTCCTTTCTCATTTTGTGCATAATTGGATGATGTTCACAGAGAGAAGCAACATTCACCGAAAAGAAAGACTACATCTTTTATATTCATAAATCCATTCTGTGAATTCATTTACAAATGGAGACATTTTCTCCCAGAATTGAACAGCTTTATTTTAATCTGGAAAACTGCATGAAATAAATTTACAAAACTTTTCTTTATGCTAATAATTTGAGACTATAAAAATGGAAAGGCACTAGGCAAAATCCACGATGTGGGCTGACATGTTGATGATTGTAGATATAGTTCTAAAATATATCTGGTGACTGTAGTTAAGGACTTTGGATTGTATGAGTCTTACATGGAGCATTTTAATGGTCTTGATGGTGAGTTCTGTTGCTTGCAGAGAACTAATGGAGTTGAAAACTGATGAAAATATAATAGTCATTTTGCCTCATACATTAGCCTTCTAGTGTTTTGAAGAAAATGGTTATGTACAAACAAAAAGTGGTGAATAACATAACATAGCATTGCGGGAAATATGAAAGAATCTGATTCAGCAAATACAACACTTCTCTGAGTCGTTACTATCTTTTTATACAGAAAAAAATAGAGCATAATATCACTACTTAAAAAAAATAAAATAAAAAATTAAACATACTGGAGATTGTTCAGATTACATTATAATACAATGGCAGATGCTGTTGCAGACACAGCTCAGAAGGCCTTGTCTCTCAAATATTTCTAAACTACAGAGAATTACTGATGAATGCAATTTTACATTGCTTGAGATGGTTCAGAGGGGGCATGCATAGACAACCTGTCTGTACAATAGCACTTAAGAAACTAACACAGAAAACAGTCATTTCTGAAGTACATTTCAGTACTTTCTTTAACTGACTTCATCTGAATGAAAGGAGAAACATGCAACATACTGGTGACTCTTCATCTAACATACCTGTGGCCAGAGAGGAACTCCATTTTTCAGCCAACGATATGTTGGCCTTGGCTTTCCAGTGGCTTTACATTCCCATCTGAGCTGATCTCCACTGTCTAATTGAGTATCATTAAGTTTCTCCACCCAATGTGGGTAAGCTGCAAATAAAAAATACCATGCTATACACAAACCATATAAACTGGTCTCTAGCTGATACGTAAAGACCTAATGAATTAAAGAGCTTAAATTATTAAAGAGCTTAAATTATGACCTTTACGAAGCTTGACTTACTCTCAGAAAGAAGCACATTTAAACAAACAACCAAAATGAAAAGAGAAAGTAATAAAATTAACAAAACTCCATAACTTTAAAGGAAAATGCTGTAATGACACCAGGCAGTGAGCAGTATTATGATCAGGAATAGAAATCTGCCTGATTTAATAAAGTTCAATGGATTAAATTACAGTACTGTATATTAACACATTCATTATTACTGAATTTAAGAGCATTTACTTGGCAGTCAGAATAGAATATTTAGTAACTTCTCAAAATGTAAGCTATTTAAATTTTGGTAAAGAGGTCAATCATCATAGGCTGTTGCATAAAGTTTTCTCAGCTTAATAGGAAATCATGATTTATTTAGCTCGCAATGACTGGGCATTTGGTAAGGTATTTGCACGTATTTTTGTTAAAGTGTCTTGGCCTTAATTCATATTTCAAGGGAGAAAATGCTTTTAGTGTTTTTAAGCACAGAACTCACAAGATTTCCAGAATTCATCAGGAACATAAATTACACACTAAGTCAATGTTAAAACAGTCTTTTTACAAAGCGAGACAGTTGTTAGGTGTATATGTGATGATTAACAACTAAATTTCACGTAATAATCTGTTAAAAACAGGGAATATTTTTTTTCAGAGAAGCAGATCTTTAACACAGCAGTCAATCAGATAGCTGTATGTAGGATCTTATAATTTGGAAAACTTTGTATTTAGTGAGGAACTAAGCATTCATATGCAGAAATAAGAATGTATGCTTAAAAGTCAGCTTTATGGTTTTCATACTGTAGCCATATCTATTTGTATAGCAAAGAGGAAGATGAAATTAATTAAGTTAATGATATTAAACGTTGGGAGTTTTTTTCAAATAGTAGAGAATAAGTAGCTAAAAGGCCTTCATTTCTAAAAGAATGTAAAATTCTTCTGCTTGGTATGAATAGAAGTCCAGATCTGTCACAACAAAGTCTGTGCTTCAAACGTCGGATAATTGATAACGTACTTAAACATGAGCAACTGAGTTTAAAGATAAATCTTTGAATCTAGCTGGCGTTTGACAGGTCACCAATCAAAGACGTGAGAAGATATGAAAAGGCGTGACAGGTGACTAACTGCTTCTAGCTTACATCTCGTGCATGGATGATAAAGAAAGTGAATGAGGTGTCTATCATTCCTAAGCAGAGAATAGTCTGCTTCAGAGTCTCTGACCAGACAGTTGACAGAAGCTGGAAACATATCAGAAAAAGAATCACTCATTTCCCTTTTAGTAGAGGAAAACAGAGATAAGATTGACCCAACCTCACTTCCAAATTATAGACCAAAAACATCTGCTCCCTTATTCTTCTTATTACAGTCAAGGCAATTCATGACATGCTCCATGTGTGCTCCTCTGTGTTGAATCACTTAATTCTTAAGTTAAATCAAAGGGTGCCATGAAATCCTCAGAAGCAGTTTGTGAGAGTCGCTGCTCACTTCTTGTCTGCTAATTGTCCTAAAAACACTATTCGATTGCTTTGTGTAGTTGATGCTGTTGTTTTCTGTTTGAGTGTTTCAGTATGCACAAAGGAAGCATGCCGAGAAGTAATTGCTTTGAAAATGAGTACGCTAATATGATTTCGGAAGCTGTGGCAGTTAATTGTGTAACTAAAAATTCATAAAAGTTAGATAGCGATGCCACAAAATCATGCAGTTTCAAAAAGGCGCTAAACTCTTCCTATTTATATTTCATACTTTTTATTCGTTTTCCACAAGTTTTCCTCTATAACCACAAGCTTGCAAATCACAGCGGCATGATTGACTGGTATTAGCAACCTGTTTTCATTATGTTGGGTATTTCTACCCCAAATTTTCTCCTCAGAGCCTAAATGGCCTTTGAATTCATAATTCTTAAGCTGTTGAACTTGCCTTCAAGCCTAGACAATGACTCAGATTCCCACCCCTTTGAGAACAAGGTAGAGAAAAGCAATAGGTAGATATAGCAGGAACAGAGTTAAATGTATGATTGAGAGAAATATTTTCATTACTTTTTGGCCTCCTTTCCTCTCTCTGTGTCTCCTTACTTGGCCATGGAGAGTTTCCTCTCTGCTTATTAGCAAGTGTCACTCTCCATAAATGATAACAGCTGTTCTTAAATCCTATCAATAATCTAAAAGCTGAAACGTTTAACTGGATGTACAACCTCTGACTCAATGTATTATTTTCTTTTTTTTTTAAACAAAAATGTGTTAACATCATCATTATACACATATGGGCAAAGAAAACTTCATTCCATAATTGCCCTTGATTTTAATCAGAAAATATAAATTCTAAGAAGCATTTAAACAGATTTCAAAAGTAATAGGATCTTTTTTCTTTTCATAAATGCAACACTCATCTTGGGGGAAAATGGGTGTTTGCCTGCTTTATATCTGTCCAGTGAAAAGTTTTGGGTGAATACAAGAATAGAAGGATTTGTTTTATTACACAGTAGTCTTTATGGAAATTGTGCCATAGCTTTATACAGTGCTCCTGAGATTTTAAAATCACCGTCCAATCTCTGATTTATTTTATGCTGCATTTCTGCACCTGTTTATTCAAGGATGTCAAAATGTTTTACAAACACAAATTGGCAATAAACCTCCAAGCTTACAGGCCAGTTTTTATATCCTCTATGCAAAATGAAATTCAGGTGCAGAAAACTCAGTCTGCTTTCTCAAACTATTAAGCAACTTTTTGACTGAAAGAAATTATAGACAAAATTTTGCATAGATAAATGACTTTGGATAGTGTCCTAAAATGTGAATGAGAACAGAGTTTGGGGTGAATAAAATTCATTTTGTGGACACTAGGCCAATTAGGAAGTACATAGTAGGTGAAGAATAGGTAGTTATCACAGCAAGAAAGATAAGATAGCAAATTTAAAACGAAGCTGCAATTCTGACCACAAAAATCTCTTCCTCTCTTGCTAGATTTACTACACATATCTGGGGCTAACCTGCAGAGGCAGCAGCGGATTTTATCCCATACAATTTTTAAAAGGAAGTTATTAAAATGGTTTTTAAAATCAGGATGTTCGGTTACACTGCATTACAGAATATTCCTGCCCTCAGCTGCTTGCTCCACTCTGGTGTTAGGGCAAACAACCCATTCTGCTGTGCTGCTCATGATGCACTGCTGTGAGCAGGACCAAGGAGCTGATCAGGCCAAAAGAAAAATGGCCAAAAAAGTGTTCTTGTGGTCCAGTTCCCACTACCACCCTCTGCTGAACTGACGCTAGTGAGCAGGTAACACAGAAGCAAATTCAAGAGGTTCAGAGTAAGCAAGAAGCAGGAATTACATAAAACAGCGCTTACCATTGGGAAGCTGCTGATAGTTCGGATTTCTGAAGGAACTGTGATTACAAAAGGTTAATTATAATCCAATTTCTCCAACCAAATTTTAATTTTTTTTATGTTTTTTTTTTTAATCAATTTGAACTTGAACAAAATTTCATGGAAACTTACAGGATGAGCAGATTATTTGGCAAAAAGTCACACCTCTCAAAATAAGTTGCAGTGCATATAAGGATGTCTTGCACTATCAACATTTTTAATGCATTTGTCAATTCTACAGCTGAATTTCCACTAAGTGCTGAGACTAAAACAATCTGAAATTGTCAGCATCCCCAATACCACTTTCTGATCAACATCTGAAGTGTCAGCTGCATCAGACAATCATCGGATTGCACCACCAGGTAAGAAATGAAAAATCACTAGTTTGTGACTAAATGTGACCAGACAGGCAGACTAGGTGTCCTGGGCTTTCTCCAAAATACTCTGTGGTGACCTAGATCAAATGCAACTGATGAAATGAAGAAGATTCAAACAGACAGCAAGTGAGCTCCCACAGAGATATGCAGATTGTGAGACCACAGTATGGCACAGCTGATCCTACAGCCTGCTCTGGAATTTTACAAGAAACCTCTGGTAAGGAACCATGGCATACATCTGAATTTCTGAGCCAAAACAATCATTGTCTCCTGGAGGAATAAGATGTCAGGGAAAAGAAAAAGAGCTTTAAGGTAAATAATTCATGTTGACTGTTGTTATGAATAAGAGGTACAGAATGAAATGCTTTACAAGTAATGCCCCCAAATCCTGCTGTATCAGCTGTCAACAAAGGAAGCCAAGAATCCTGTAAAATAACATTTGACTAAACTTTATGCTGCTATAAACCTTCTTACCTAAACCCTCTTACACCCCTGGAAAGGGCTGTCAAGGTTTGCAGGACAGACTAATGCAGTCTTCAAGAGCACTGAATGCTACGAGAGGCTCACTGGGGAGTATGTCATCTCAAGGCCAAGAAAAGGCACTTGTAGGGGACTAGTGCAGTTTGTGCTTCTTATTCTGCCATACTGGAGGTTGCTGCTGCCCTCTGGTACCTACTCTGACCTTGCTCCCTGCCAATGCAGATAGGTGAAACTCTGACTCAGATCTGGTTTTGATTTATCTGTTAGATAGTATAAAGTATATTAATAGACTTAAAATAAACTTAATAATATACTAGTCTCACATACCTGTTAATCAGAGGAATGAGACAATCTGAAGTGGACCTCCTTTCTACAATGATAATGATGCTGTTTTAACATTATCACAAAAAATGTCAATGAGCACAAACCGTGCACTATCCATAAAGGCCATGGCTGTTGAAAATATAATTTTGACAATGGTGAAGAACTAAAAATTCGTATTTCTATCTGGACAGAGTAGAACAAAACTGACACAGAAAATGCTTTCTGTGGCCTCCTAGATTTCAGTACCATCTTTATTTCTGCTCAAAACAAAAATGTGTCCAGGCTAATAATGTGAGAGGCAGATTTCTATAGAATACTATATCATGTTTGCTGTGATTTTATGTCACAGGTCTGCAGGATGCTCTAGAGAAAATAATTTCATTTTCCAGCATCTTAGTTTCTCTCTCGAAGAGCACCTTGTATATTCCTCTAACTCTGAAAGAGAGAGGCAGGGATAATTGTGACATTTTTATAAGGTGCTTTATCATCTAATAGTTTCAAAGCTGTAGAAAACGGCTAGTAAGTGTATAAGCCAGGATACACCATATAACTCAAATTAAATTATTTTTGAATTTCAGAAATTTTAACAAATGTTGTCAAAAAAGACTGTCTTTGCTGTCACATATTTTTTTTTGCAGCATATACCAACAAAAACCTGAAGACAAAAACCTACCCCTGGCTCTAGATGGATTAGAATGAAAATCAAGGAGAGAAGCATTATCCAGAGATATGCTGATACTCACTAAAACCAAGAGAACTAAGATGAAGACACTGGAAAGCTGAAGGAGACAGAAAAATTGATTATGGACCTGGAAATATTGACATATGTGGAAAATGAGGATGAGATTTTGGGCAACCTGGTGTAGTGGAGGGTTTCCCTGCTCATGGCAGGTGGGTTGGAACTAGATGATCTTTGAAGTCCCTTCCAACTCTAACCTTTCTGTGATACTATGATTCTAAATAAACTATATATATGATGCCAGTGTATGGTTATTTGATGAAAGCGTGTAACAAAGACAGAGAACTGCGTAGAGTTAGTAATGGGGAGAAAGCACTAGGAGCCATGGGCTGAAATCAAGAAAAGAAAAATAAAATTGACTAACAGGAGAGACTCCTTCTTAAAGGTATCTATTAGCCTGAGGACCTATCTAAACTGCAGCAGTTGGAATTCCACTGACTGCAATATTTGAAGACAGTAAACAATGCAGAGTTTGAAAGATTCATTCCATAATCTCCTGCAGTAGACTTTTCCTGCTAAGTATTTAAGGATGCAGGATTCAATGATCGGTAGCAAGCAATGTAGCTTTAATTGATAAGAAGTAGGTAGGACTCAAGTATACATTCTATGTAAGGAAAACTTTGACTTGTGAGTATTCAGAGCCTGTCTTACATAGGGTTTTGTTTCTAGCTTTAGAAGACCAACTTATAGAGTGAATATGTACAGCGATTTCTGAAAGTTGGAACCTTCAAAAATTGTGCATGCCTGGTTTAAGAATTTTCAACAAAAACAGAAGGACTTCTCTGGCTGATTCCTGTTCAACAAATTTGACAAAACAGCATCCAGGTATGACAAGGGTGAAAGATTAAAAAACCTGTGATAAAAATCCTCAGATATTTCTAATATTGTTTTCTGACAGATACATCATGCTTAGATTGTATGTCATTGTTATATATCGTACTAGGAGAAAAAAAATAGACTTTAAAAATTACAGTGATACTCTTTAAAAAAACCCTTCAATTCTCCATAAACATCAAACATGAAATTGTATTTAACCCAATTCTTTGAGGGAGTCAACTTTATTTATATTTCAGACTTTAATGCATTACTAAGGAATAAAAATATATAGCTTCATTCAACATTGATTTTATTTCAGAAGAAAGATATTTTGTTTCTGCTCGGCTTTAGCATCCTTCATATGCAATTAAAGACTTAAGTGTGGACGAGGTATTGCTGGATAATACTGTGTGTGTAGTTACACTTACTGTACACTTGTAGTTGTCCTCTGAAGACGTTTCTTCCACGAGAGTTTTCAGCCTTACATTCGTACATTCCCGCGTCCTCTAGCTGCACATTAGGTATTTCAAGCACAGCTTGGGATTTTCTCAAGCGAGCTTTACTTGGATTATGACCATTAACTTTCCTCCAAGATATTGTTGGAACAGGGCTGAAATATTTAGCAAAATCACTGTTAGCACTCTTCCACTATCAAGAATATAGATTCTGTTATCTGGTAGTTTAAATACTTAATAATCTAAGTAGCAATAAAATATAAGCACAATTAAGGTTCATATAATGCTTGATACACCTAACTTTCTGTAGGGAATCATTAATAAATGGTTTACTTCATGGAATGTGTCCCTTTCATCCACAAGGGAGGCCAAGTTTTTATTGAGATCAAGTAAATCACTTGAAATACTCTCTCTAGAGTTTCTTTAGCACTCTGTGCTTTACTCTTGGACGCTTCCACTCGATAGAGAAAAGAAAATAAAAACTTCAAAACCTGGAGGAATTTAGCAAATTCCAACACATCCCAATGAGCCTGCAACAAAACTGCAGTTCAGGAGATCAGTAAGTGGTAAGGTCCATCTAAGTGGGGGATTTCAGTACCACTCTGTCCTGGATAAATTGAAGTGACCAAAGTTTGGAGACCTTTTCTGTTGCAATATTCCTTAAGTTACAAAACTGGTTGTGTAAGAAGTGTGTATTAATGGCACTATTGCTTCTGACTCAGTCTTACATGCCTGGTCACGGAAGTGGAAGGGTTTTTCTTTGTAGCTTGCTATTCCACACAGATTTATGTGGGAACTGTGTTATTTGCATTCATATTGAGGGAAGAAATTGATTAGATAGTGTTTGCACTCATTTGATTTTCTTTTTAGCCCAAACACTCATCAGTCATCGTTCACTCATTGGGCTTTTTGGTACAGACATGTATTTGTCTAAATATGGCAGATACTGAAGGGGAAAGAAAAGAGAAAAAGAACTGTGAGCTGAAAACTAGACTGCTTCAGATGTTCCCAAAGAAGCTTGGAGGACATCATAAAAGAAAATGTAACTGTTACATGCTGATACTTTTTCAAAAAATATTTTGTATTTATTTGAATTGCTTTCAGGTCTTAGTTTAGATACAGACACATTCAGACCTTGTGGCAGTTTAGGTGGGGAAAAGTACTTCATAGCATAGATTCAAATTCAAAGCTTCTATTAATTTCTGCCATCATTTCCTAACCTCCATTTGCTGTAACTATATGAAGTTCCATTAAAAAATCACCTTTCCCTCAGTATTTTAGGGTGCCCAGTTTGAAACATCGCAAACAGAGACATGGCAACCAACCCTGGGTAAATCTCTAGCTATTCTTCAGCCAGTTAAAATCAGGCTGTGAGCTACTGCAGTTGTACTCAAACTTGCAGACAAGATGCTCTAAATTGTAGTACGTTATAGAGATTCAGAAAATTCCCAGATTTGTAGTTGGAGGTCAGAAGGTTTCTCTAATCTTATCCCCTGAATGTCACAAATCACTGAATTTCATTTGGCCTATTAACTTAATTACCTTCACAAAGCCAACATATAGTCCCATATGGAATGGTATCCACTATTCGGATACATCAGAAAGAGACAATCATTGTTCCCGTTATCTATTTGCTGCACTGATTACTTAAACTGACAAAAGATACTTTATTTTGAGTGTGTGTGGATTCATCTCTAAGGTATAGTCCCTACAATAACTCTCTGTTCTTGCAAAACGGTCCTTTATCACTGTTCCCCACAGAAGAAATACATGTATGGAAATCAAATCACTTGTATTTTTCCCTTAGTGAGCAAAACAGACTGATCTCTTTTTCTTCAGCCCTTCAGTCATGCATATCTTTTTCTTTTTGTAGGTAATTCTGGATCGTACGATAAGTGTGGATCATATGAGCTCTTTTTCCCCTACTGTATCACTATAGAAGCTTGATAGCTTTCTCATTATTAATCTTTAATTACTTGCTTGCTGACTACTTTCAAATTCGGTTTGAGGACTCTTCTGTGCAGCTTGTATAGGTCTAATTTATAAAGTTTGCATAGAAGCTCTTTTACATAAAACATGTATATTTATATAAATCAATGTATAATATATAAATACATATAAATAATATTCATTTACATAGGTTTTTTAGAAGATTAAAAAAATTCCCATTCTTATCTGACACAAGTATTCCAAACTGTTCAATTTTAAATATGAAGAATAAGCAGGATATTTCCATCTCTGATACACTAATAAAAATTACTGTCTGTAGCTTTACCACTTAAGATACTGCTTTTACATTCTCAGCTAATTTTTATTTGCTCCACTTTGATATCTATTTGTAGATATGAGAAATAGTACAAACAACAATATTCGTTTCTTTATTCCCCATTTATTAGCTCTCGTATTTTATTTCTAATTACATACTACACTTTGTTATTCAAATTTATACTCTTTCTTGAGTGACTTTCTGGAGATCTTGTAACTCTCCTGTTGTTTCGCATTCAGCTTTAAGTGTAAATTCCTTATAAACTTGTAATTTCTCTATATGGAATATAATTATGTCATGACTGCTTGCTGCAAAATGGCCACCATGGTCAGGCAAGTGTTTCATTAACCATTATTTATCACAACACAGGTCCACAGTAGGAACACTTTATACTGGTACAGTGCAATACTACTCAGCAACTGCTGGTTTGTGAATGAGATAGGTGTGCAGGTACTCTTTATTTGGCACCGTAAGGGTGCCACCCTTATTGCTTATCGTTGCTTATTTGCCCTTCAGCCCTACTTCCAGTAAATCAGTGACAAAGATGCTTTTGCTCTATTGTCATGGAAGAAAACTGTTTCTGTTGAATAGAACTGGTAAGTGAAATTTTTTCATTGTGTATGTTTTGGAGAAACAATGAAGACATTACAAACCATGAAAGTTGTTTCATTTAGCTTCTATGAGATTATTCTGAAATTCATGTATTTAGAAAATTTCCTTTATATTGCATTTAACTATTTTTTTTTAAATTTCCTTTCTTGTCTGCTACAGAAAGAAAATGAGTATAAGATGGCAAATACAGAGGAAACTTGTTCTCTGGGTCATTAGGAAGCATATTTTAAAAAACGTCACTTTTTTCTTCATCAGTATAAGACAGTAAGTGGAGTTTTTCAAAGAGATAAAGTTACTTTAGTTGTGTAGGTTTAATGATTTCAAAGGAAAGTACTCCCAAACTGCAAATCACTATTCACAGACAACTTGTAGTTCTGTTTAATGAAGCTTATTTTCCTTGCATAGCTTACAAGTGAGGTATAAATTTGACATCTGAAATAAAAATATATCTATACCTACTTCTCCTCTGTGACTTGTGTGAGAATGAAATGAAATATATCTGAGTGAGGATGTGAAATAATAAAACTGTGTGACTATTCTAGAAAACTCATAAAATCCACTATAAAAGCTAACTAACATATGCACATATTTTCATCTTTTCTAATGATCCACAGCTTTTTAAAAAATAGAGCAACAGCAGAAATATCTCTAACATTAATATGAATTTAATATAATATGCATAATCGTTAAAACTTACAATCATTGTAATCTATTTTTATTTTGGTTTCAACAGACATGTATGGGAATATGGTTTCCTTGTTTATTATAATACTGTTCATGTTCAACTGTATGAGTGATTTTATTCAAGTTTCAATTGAGTTCAAAGATAAGATTTCTCCTCACTTTTGGAAATAACCTATTGAATACTACTGGTAAATCTTAGAACCACCAAGAAAAAAAATCCTACTTGATTTCAGAAATGCCATCATTAAACTTCTCATTCATCTGAGCTGAAATAAAAGTTCTGAGAGGTCATTGGTGACTCTGATAGTCATTACTGTGGGTTTGTTCACTTTGAATTTGAAGAAAATATGAGTTATATTTTCACATTTCCAACTAGAAGAGATTATAAGAGCCAGTTTTCAGCACTATATTATTTGGGACAAGTGTTATTGAATTTGTTGAATTAAATCTTTACAAGTTTCACTGGAAATAAAAATGTTTTGAAAAAAACTATTGGAAGCAATTTTATGTTTTAATTTTTATTTTTGTTTCCCCGCCCCCCCCCCAGTTTCTTCTGAAAAATAATTTAATTGTATCTATAAAGCATATAGTTATTTCAGGAAAGGGGTGAGGTGTAAATAAGAGCAATGTCTGAATTTTAAAATACTTTTTCCATGGATCTGAGCTCCTAGTTTTTCAGCAATATCTTAAATAAGAATGCATAGATTATTTTTTTTTCTATATTTAGTTAGTACAAATTGGTGTACTCTTTTGAAATATTTTGCCTTCTACTGTAATTTCAGTTCCTCTCCACACTATTTCTCTTTATCATGCATCACTGTTCTGAGCTGTGCTTTCAAACCCACAGGTTCATATCATAATATATCTTGAAAACCTCTGCATGTCTGTGCATTTGAGACTATGAAAAAACCTTTCTCTGTATGCCCTCCAGATTTGCAACTGTGTTAAATATCTTTTAATTATTACAGGGTAATTATGTAGGATTAAAATGTCAAGGAGTATCATGAAATTCTCTCCATTAGATACTTTCCAGAAACACCCATCAAGCATTCACACAATTCTACCTTTAGAACATCCCATATAAATCTGTTCTGTTCAGATGCAGAGATTTAGAAGACAAGATAATAACTTTTCCTTTCATTTGGTTATTAAAAATAGTACTCATGAAATATAGCAGCGATGACTACTGGAGATTTAAGAATAGAAATAGAACAGATGGAAATGGTGATGAGTTTGACGTCTGTGTGCAGGAAAATGTCCAAGTCTGCAAGTCACATCAACACACATCTATGACTGTACTAAAAAGGTCTGATGCATGTACCAGTGTCACACACTAATAAGAATGTGCCTTCCCACCACTGCTGACTTGTTCTGTATGGCACAGAGCAGGGACAGTGTGCCTGCTTGGGTGCATGTCCAGTTCCAAGTCATTTTCTTCACACTTTGAGTCCTAATACATTAGAGCATCTCTAAAATCTAAAATAGAGCTATGAATAATGACTCATCATCTGTAATGATTCATTATTCATATGAATATGAATTATATATTCCAGAGGCTTTTCTCTTCTGATTAACCAGAGCTTAAACTGTTAGCTCAAACTTGATCCTCAACCATTTGATAGCAGAAGTTA